ACTAAATTTTTGTTTGTTTTCATTTTTATATAAAACGCACCCATCACCAGTTTTTTCAAATTCAAATTCATTATACAGACCACACCCAGACCCGGAAAAGAGCTGCGGAGAACCTAACAGGTTGCCAGGGCTCCGGCTCGAAACACAGGTGAAGGAACAGTGTGGATTTAGTCAGAGCCTGACACTCCCTCTCGCCTCACCCAGGCGGGAGAAGTCATTGGGTGATTTTCCCTTCTAAAAAAGACCGGGATAAATACAATGATGCCATATACAATCATCATTGTCATTAGTGCATAAATCCACGATAAACACAATAAGTGCTAAGCTATTCTCACTTATAATAAGTATAAGTAATAACCAACTGGGTGGTTGAGTTTCTGAATTATTGTACTTAATACAAGGCTATGAATATTCATAATAAAGTTGTAATAAGAACAGTGTGCCATTTCTTGAAATAAACTTATTAGCATTCTGTTGACAAAGCACTAAAATAACTGGAATTGCTGTGATATTACAATAGTATTTATGCCGCAGTGACCGAGTCGGATTGTTTCGAAATATTTCAACGTTAACAATTTAATATGACTTCGATGGTTCTTTTAATGTTTTAGTAATGTTACCAGTAAATGAAGTTCAGAATGCACTGATTTGGACGCGTTCAAATTCTGTTCTTGATTAATTCGAAAACTTAAAAATTCCGGAAATCTTGGGGTGCGTCCACAATTGGCGAATGCTCGCAAACCGCTCGCGAGCCGCTCGCCAGCTGAGCGCGTGCAGTCATGGCAATGGTTTGGTACTCAACGCATACAGGTTTCATAAAAATAATAATTTTAAATGCACATGCGCAGCTCACGGGCGACTCGCGAGCTGCATATTCGCAAAGCATTCGGTATATGTGGACGCACCCTTAGAAAATCTTTTCGCTTACCTATCATTATTATTATACGAACATCGGAGCACAATGACAAAAAAAATGAAGATCGATTTATTCTGAGCGCCGCGGAGCTCGTGTTCAATTAGTAGCGATAGCAATTATACGATAATTGCATTGCATCGTGTGCTGCTATTACTGTAACGTTATTGACACGTCATGTCGTGATTATGGTTTCACGCTCTACGGCTGAACACTGAACAGCTGAACACGCACGCATTAACAAACTAATTGATTTAATATCAACCACTGAAGAGTGAACAAGGCTTTGTGAAGTAGCATTAATGGCTTCTTTAGGATAAGTTAACATTATTTGCAGAAGGTATTCAGATGAAAAAAGGGATGTAACTACTTAAAAGCTGCTATTTTTCTTTGGATGCTTTTACAAAAACTGTTCAGGTGATGAGACCTATGTTCAGAATTAGAAGTCTTGTAGCTAAGCTGATGATGCTGGTGATGATTTTTTGAAGTTCTTTTGATTTCAGTCATCAGTACATAAGGTATTACCTATTGTGAAGTATAAATATATTGTGTAAATACCTATGTACTATAGTATGTGACTATGTGTGATTACGTTGTAAAACTTTGTAAAGAGATAAAAAGGTTATGCTCATCCAAGCATACAGGATTTTATATCATTTCCGAGTTTCTATTCAACAATGTATGCATAATGCGTCGACGCGGGATAGGATTAAATTCTTGTCGACACAAAATAATAGAGGAAGAAGAGCTAAACCAGTGAATGCAAGATCCTAAAGCCGTCTAGCAAGCGCGGGGATTATGGCTCAGTATAATAGGTTGTTTTAAAAATAACCATTTTATGTTATTGACGATGATTAGGTGTAAAAGAATAACGAATGGGGGTTTCTTGCTCGTTCTTCTCCACTCGAATCTACATTTTGGAATGAGCACCTAGCTTCACTGACAAACTATTATTTATTTTATATTTGTTGACGTTTCAAATGTACCAAATTATGGTTTAAACTGTCAAACACCAAGCGGTCACTGGTGACCGCAACCTATTGTTCTATAATTGTGTCTATAATGACGGTACTCGACGAGTTAATTGAAATAAATGCTTTTGAGATTGAGTTTGTGTGGATTGCGTGAGACATTAAGTGAAGAAAGACCTGTCAGGCTATTCTATAACTGTCGATTTAAACTTTCAAAGCGAGCTCCATCACGTTCTTGCCCGTCATTGGTCGAGATTATTCTCATAACCAATGGTATGGCGGACCACGATCGAATTCCGTTCGATCTTTCGAATTGATGGTTACAAAATAGCGTAGCTGGTGATTAACCTCAAGAACCATTATTATATAAGAGCAGAAAGAAGAGGGCATAATATTATTCTTGGTGAATTTTATTTAGTAATATAGTAACTTCCATGAGACATACTAAATTAATTATTATGTTTTTCGGCTTACTCACGTAATTATTTTACGAAGAACTCGACTAGTTTTAAGATACTGTATCTGTAGCTGTAACTGTATCAGTAGCAGCGCTACAGTCGCCGTGTCGCCAGTCTCGGAATGGTGCTCATGAGTATGAACCTCTAGCAAGGCTTGAAACTAATCGAGTTCCTCGTCAAATAATTATGTGAGTAAGTTGAAAAACGTAATAATTAATTCCTTGTAGTATTAGACTATTACTTTTAATTACTCAAGAACCGTTATTATTAAAGTAGATAGAAAAATAACAGTGGATTTTATATAAATTAAATTAATAAAATTATTTTCATAGACGTCCACGTCAAAATGTCATGAAAACTCGGTTCCACTAACAAATGGACATTACATTTAAAATATTCAAAGCTATTTACAAAGGTAGTCATTAAGGTCACGTCTAATTATGACTGGACTAGACTAGGTATAATGTTTTTATAATTATGTATCATTCAGGTATATTACAAAAACGTGGATACTTCAACATTTGAAGATTTTTGTATACAAAATGTATAATGACTTGATATAAGTGATGATCTAATTAGTACCTACTGTTAGACGACAAAAATCAACTAAATGAACGTCTCTAGATTAATTAATCTGTGTTATCGGCAGCACTATCTGTCATGTTGACGCTGTCATCTGTCAAACGTGACAGTAAAGTTTCCCGCGCACAGAGATGTAACGGGCATTCGGATAAAATCGGATTGCGAGTTTGAACGATCGTTTCTCTGTTTCATCAAAGAATCTGTTGAAATAAACTTTCAGTGTTAAATATTGATAGATTTATGTACATAAAACTACTTAGCTAAAAGGTTTTTTTATTCGAACGTGCATTTTTTATTTATGACATTTTTATGTTCTCAAAGGAAGGAAGCAATAGTGAGCTATCCGATATTAAGTATGATAATAAAATTAGGCGAAGGTTCATCTAGATGGTTCTGAATGAAAATTTACTCTGAGGTAGATCATGCCTAAGTGTTTACTAACACATAGGCCACTTTCAATTATGGTAACATGAGTGAAGCTGCTAGTAGAAGTTAGTTAGAAATAAAACCCTATGGAAACACGGAACTGATGGTAATATGACGCAATCAAACTGATTCTAATTGATACCACTTAGGGTTCCTCATAATTAGAAATGTCGTTAGGTGTAGATATAAGCAGTCGTTTCTGAATCGATCGATGGCATCGACGTATGAGAAGTAATATAGTTTGTTTTTTTGGCAAAACTTCCAGACCTTTTGTTGTTGATTTGGTACAATACATCACTCAATGTCTATCTGGCTTATTCTAGCTATTAATCTTTTTCATTGCCAATGTGTACATGTATAAATAACTTCTGCCAACAGCTTCCCTGCGTTAAAAGTAACCGATGAGTTTTTCCAGACCATAATCTACCCTTGTTCCAAATTTCACCCCAATCCTTTCACCCGTTTTGACGTGAAAGAGTAATAAACAAACATACAAACTATCCCATTATAACGATCGAGAAATGTATTCTAATACATTCCTATAGTATTTTAGTGAATTTTCTAATTTTAATATTTAAATTTTTACAAGCAAAGCCGCTGGAAGAAACTATTATAATATTAGTTAATATAAATTGGTTTGTCATACTTAAATTCTTAATTTGATTTATTAGAATTATTAATAATTTGAATTTGACTTCCTAAATAATGACCAATCAAAGCAGAGCGCGCGCCTCGAGCGGGGTCGAGGCGCCATCTTACTAATAAAAAGGGAGATAGTTTTGGCGGGAGACCATGAATTAGCTATCGGTTGAGTTGGATTGTTTATGTGATTTACTGTAAGATCGGTGCCCTGAACCCGCTGCTCAGTCCTAATTATTAACCTTTCTTTTGCGTTATTGTGAAACTGATAAAACTATTGTTACTATCTATAATTACTAAAATCTATAATTAATAATTACTAAAATAGTGTTTATTGTGATCATTGTGTTCGCATTTTACCCTCATGACGCCCACTAAGCCCACAATCACTAATGACGACGTCGGCGATGACAATGTTTCTCCGATAGATATATATATATATATATATATATTACAAAAAGATCGTTCCCAACAATAGATTAATTATTCATTTCACTGTTTCATACGATGATTGATTACAGAACAAAATATTTGGTAAATAAACCAATGTTGGCACTGTTTGAGGTAGGTTTTAGCATTTTGTTTGATTTGATACGATTTTAATTGAACCAGTGAGTTGGTAAATATTGTTTGATAAATTAAATCGTTTTACATGAAACGGAATGACGCATTGAATTAGGATTAGTATTCTGTATATTTTATTAAGGTTCAAAATTGTTCACATTTTACTTTCAAGTTGTGATTGTAAAACTTTTTGGCCCCTTTAGACGTCAGATTTTTATTTTATGCTTTGTCCCTTGTCTACTGCCCCTTCAGCTTCCTCGGAAATTAAGCTCGGAGTCATTGAAGTAGGCCTACGTAGAAGTAATACAACTTAGTTGTGGTGGGTGTAAAAAAGAAAACAAAATCCTATCGCCCACGTACTCACAGAAAACTTGACGATACCGTCTACAGTTCTTAGCATTTCTTTCCTTTATAAAAGTTAATAGTAACAATTTATTTTGTTGGCAGGTGCTCCCCGGGCTGTACGTGGGCAATTACCGGGACTCTAAGGACACGGTGCAGCTAGACAAGTACAAGATCACACACATCCTGTCCATACACGACGCCGCGAGAAGATTGCATTCGGTGAGTCCACTTGTTATCATATTTTTGTCTGTGGAATGGGAGAAAGATTTTTTTTTTTCGTTATTTTTAAACTACGTGTTCGTTTTTTTAAATCGATTTGAAGAATTGTGGAAGTTGTAGTGTTAGAAGAATAGGGTAGAATAAGGTGTGTAATGTTTTTTAGTTTTACTTACAAGTAAATATTGCAAGAAGTAATGACAACACTAGATAGCTATCGTGAGACATACTAAATTAACTGAACGTCGCGTCGCTAAGCCTACGACATCACCGCGACCGCGCACGCTGCTCACGAGAAAGAACCCTTCTGTGGTTCGAAAGTCGAAACTAGTAGATCTTTGCGCAGTATTTTCACGTGACTTACCCGCAATTTTTAGTTAGCACAAGATAGGTCAACCTGGAGACAGTTTATTAGTTCTTGTGAAGTAAGTCGACAGACCTCTTGTTTGAAAACAAAAGAGTTGACCCATTCTAGACAGTGTTGAGTGTCACCCATCCAACACTTGACCGCAATAACGTTGTTTAACCTCTGATCCATATAAACTGTTACCATTATCATGTGTGTTAATTTTTTGCAACACATTTTTGACCCTTGGTTTGCTGAAACGCAGAGCTAATCTAATGTAATAAATAAATTTATTTTCAATATCACTGTTTACCGTTGATTAAACATAACATTTTTGATAACTATAAGCGAAAAATGCAATTTAAAACAATTGCAAACTTTATACACAACACGATGAGTAAGTAAGCCGGAATACTGTAAAGCTACAATTTTAAGTCGCGATTAAATTTTTTTTTTATTGGTAAGCGAGCAGACGTGTCACCTGGAACACCAGAGGCGTTACAAGTACGTTACCGGCCTTTCGAGATTAGGAATTCGAGGATTTTTGGGGGTTCAGGGATAGGGGAAGGAGCGGTTGGGCCTCCGGTAACCTCGCTCACACAACGAAACACAAGTGTTGTTTCGCGTCGGTCTTCTGCTCGGCCGTGGTATCGGTCCGGTTGACTACCTGTCAACTACCTTATTATGACCATGTACTTTTTTTCAATTGAAATTGCCGTTTTTATGTAACTTACGCTGATGATAGCATTTGTGCATACTGTGTACCGTTTTAGGTTCCGTGCGTGTCGGTCGAGCCAACCCATTCGTCACTACAAATTTTCGTGCCGAAGCATGGCTCCCACACTAAAGAATAAAATAAATATAGTTCTGTCACTAGAAATGACAGAGATGGCACGATATTTAAGTACAACTTCAAATTGAGTAACCTTTCAGTATTCGAGCGTAAGTAAAAATATGACTGATATATAAAAAAAATACAACAAAGAAAACAATTTATTAAATTAAGTGAAGTAGTTACAAAGAGCCATTACTATGTATTTTATTACTACTAATGTATAGTTACACTGATTCATTCCCAGAATAATTACTTTTAATGTACCACTGTACCAGTACCAATAAATGTTTTTCATTGGGGTCGAATGACGTCATTTGCAGGGTTTAACTTTTATTGCCAGTCATAAGCGCTTCTTTCTCTGCTACTTTAAATGGTGCTAGAAAAAATATAAAGCTATAAAGATAAGGTTATTTTTTACACATAGGTAACATATTGTAGCCATACCTGAGTCGATAGAATATATTAAATTTGTTATTCCTTTACTGAGGTCTTAATTTGTTTTCAGTTTAAAGAAATCGAAACGAGGTACCTTCGACGCTCTGATTGGTTGGTTTATTGGAGCCGGCCAATCAGAGCGCCGAATGATGTACTCGCTTTGATTACATAAAAACGTAAACCTAGGCCTACCGGGGCTCCGGCTCGACGTGCAGGAGAAGGAACGGGGTCGTTTTTAGTCAGTAAGAGTCTGACACTCCCTCCCGCCTGACCCAGGCGGGAGCAGTCATTCGATGATTTTCCCCCCTTAAAAAAAAAAAAAATGCTTGGTCAACTGACTTCAATGAAACAACTATCGATATAATACTGCTTTTAATATTTCTATGGAATTAACGCGGTAAAGTTTCGATCTTGTTGAACGTAAAACAGACTAGTACTATGTGACGTAAAAGTGACACTCAGCCCTCTGTTTTCACGAGTGCGAAGTGTCACTTTTATTTCATCGTCACCATCAACAATTCGTGATAAATCACTGCTAGACTATCGACCTGTCGCGGAGAACCTAACGGGTAACCGGGGTCGCGGAGAACCTAACGGGTAACCGGGGCTCCGGCTCGACGTGCAGGAGAAGGAACAGGGTGGTTTTTAGTCATTTGATGATTTTCCCCCCTTAAAAAAAAGACTATCGACCTCCTCTACGTAAGTATGTTATGACAACATAATCACTACCCTTTACAAGTGATTTCGAGTTCGCGGTTTATCAAGTAGGTAGGTAATTTTATCTACCAAAGAATGCTGCTGCCCAGTCTTTGTCAAATGAATAAACCCTACGTCGACTTTTAAGACACCAGCGGGAAAAGAAGGGGTGACGATTAATATATTTTATTCTGCCGTTAGCACAAGCGTATGTCCTAAGTACTTAGATGAATTTAAAGTAGGTACCTTAGGATAAATACGTTAATAAAGCCACGACCTTGTATGTAAAATGAGTTGAACTCTCGAAGGTGTTGATGAGTCTAGTCATATTCATGACACAATCTGCTCGTCACGTAAGTAATTAATTTTGGTATACTCAATTATAGTACCTACGAAGTTACTCAGCCGTGAAGGGCGTAGTTCACGACGAACTAGCGATGCGATGGGGAATTAACTCGTATAGAAACTAGTAAACTTTGTTTAGATTTTAGTGTACATAAGGTACATGAGGGTATTAAGGCCTAGCTAAGGGAAATCTGTTATAAAATAAATACTGATAATAGAATCAACAAGTTTTTTTAGGTAATCAGTCGTTTATTTATCCAACTACAAAATTAAAACAAAAAATAGCAACTTCTGCATGATACTTAAACAGAATTAAACGTTTTCTAAAACTCTCTTATTAGGCCTTATTATAATTAGGTAGGGTAACAAGGCCTGCTTCTTAAACCATGCAATTAATCAACTAAAACAACATAATTTGGTACTTGAGACCAATCATCATCCAGTTAATGGCAGAATAATACTTTATCATCTTAAGAAATAAATGAGTAGCCTCATCTAACAACCACCAGGGCATTTTTTTAAAGGGGGAAAAATCATCGTATGGCTTACCCGCCTGAGTGAGGCGGGAGGGAGTTTCAGACTCTTACTGACTAAAAATCACCCCGTTCCTACTTCTGCCCTTCGAGCTGGAGCCCCGGTAACCCGTTAAGCTCTCTGCGGCTCCGCATCAGTCCTATTGGGCCTCATCCGTGGTGGTTGGATGGCTCTTTGAGACGCGGAACGCGAAGCGCCGCATGCTCAGGTCTAGTTCTGGTCGGGCGGCGAGCTACCCATGCTGGCTGTCAGCAGGCCCGTGCTTACGGTGGCCGGAGATCGTCCTGCGATCCCCGATGCCCGGAGTGTCCTTCTTGGCGGCTGCGCTGTGAGGAGGCACGCGCCCCGCCTCCTCCTTAGCTAGCTTGACTGCTTCGCAGAAGGAGTAGACAGCACGACCCCGGCATATAACCTCCGGCAGGAGACGTTTGACCCCCCGAGGTTGGGTAGGAGGCGCTTAAGCGCAGCCCCCGTCCTTTCCAACTTAGGAACCAAACGTCATAAATACATCCACCAGGGCATACGAAGTCATCATACCATCACAGTCCGATAACTGATTATCCTCTTCACAGGATCATCTTCTTGTTCTGAATTCATTATAGGCTTACGACCCAAACTTTTTACCAAAATATCACTTTGGAGATGGTTTCTTATTGTTCTCCTAGGAATTTTGTATCGTTCTGCAGCCGCATACGCAGGTACTCATGATTCCTCTCTGTACTGCGCAAACAGCTGAGACCAAATGATCTTCTGACCACAATGCTGGTTTTAGGAGGCATCGTGAACATAGTAAATGTGAACAATGTATGATTTACTGAAATAGTTTGAAAATAGTGCAAACATTAAAACATACATATCTATAAGTATAATAAGGCCTACTACAAAATTTTACAGGCCTTATTACACATAGGTAAGGTATTTATGGAAAACGAAATAAATACAATTTAGACTGTAGAACGTTAATGAATAAGGCAATGTAGGACTAGCATAAGTTAACGATAATATAGACAGTAAGTGCAAGGAGAGAACTGTAATAATTTAAGAAATACTTACGTTTTACCGGAGCCAATATTTGTAAAAACGTGACGTGCGGCTACTCTTGATTACGTTTAACACGCCATTAGCAAAAGCGAGTGAGATAGCCAACGTTTGCCGCCTGATGGCGCCTTGTACGTGGAATATACATGTCTGTGCTTGAACTTGAGCGCGAAATCGTATTCTAAGTAAGATTTTTGATTTTTAGGCCTTATTAGCCGACAGGCCTTAATACCCGCATGTACCTTACAACTAGCTGTTGCCCCCGACTTCGTCCGCGCAGAATATGAATTTTACAACATCAAGTTTTTTGTTTCATTCTTCTAAAAAAAAATGGCGGATGTTACTTCTCAGTACATCAGCTACTTGCCAATAAAAGTCTAGTAAAACCTGTCCAGCAATTTCAGAGATTAGACAGTATAAAGAGACAGACAGATACAAATTGTAAAAAATGTTATTTTGGTATATGTATCGTATGTATATGCATGTAAGTACTAAAAACATAAAGCCGAATTGATAACCACCTTCTTTTTTGGGAAGTCTAACCGACTTCTGCGGAAAAGCGGTTATTTTAATATTAGAATATAAAACACTCCAAGTTTATTTATCTGTATACAGTATACATATTGTAATGCTTATCCAGCACATAATAAATAACAATATAGGTATCTAAAAATTTACACCCATCTGATATGTTATACGTCTTATTTAATTTAAGACGAAGTAATCCTATTGCCGTTTAGCAGGTACAATCACAAACTTAGTGCTTTCACTATC